TTCTACTCTCTTTCTCTATTCTAAGCACCTCATATAAGCCTAATCATACAATATTTGTCCTTTTGTGTCTAGTTTATTTTACTTACCATAATGTTTTTAAGGTTCATTCTTGTTGTAGTGTGTATCAGAATTTCATTCATTTTTATGGCTGAATAATATTGTTGTATTTGTCATATTTTGTTGATTCATTCATCTGTTTGTGGACACTTGAGTTGTGTTTACCTTTTGGCTTTTGTGCATAATGCTGCCATGAACATGGGTGTACACATATCTGTTTCAGGCTCTGCTTTTAACTCTTTTAGGTATATACCTAGGAGTGGAATTGCTAGATTATATGGTAATTGGATTTTGCTTTTTGAAGAAATACCAAACCGTTTCCCACACCAGCTGCAGTCCTACCAGCAAATGCACGAGGGCTCTGATTTCTCTATATCCTTGCCAATATTTGTTATTTTCCACTTTTTGGATAATACTCATCCTAAATGGTGTGTCAAAAATGTTTTAGCATTTACTCTGATGAATGTTAGATGACTCAGAAGAGCTACTTACTGTTGTGAGGAACCAGTTTCCTTAAGTTACTAAAAGGGGGCAATGGCCTAAGTCAGTTCCATATAAAAGGGGAGCTGCAGGGATTCTGGCCATCATATACAGCATCTCCTTATTCATAAAATACTCTCATTTACAAAAAGGCATGTTTATTTACAAAAAGGTATGTTTATTATTAATATATAATATATATTATTATCAATACATAATAAATATATATTGTTTGTAAAATACTCTCATTTACAATGAGGTTTATATATTTCTTGATGTGAACTTTTTCTTTATATGTGGACTCAAGGATTAGCTGAAACTCTCAGATTCAGAAAGAACACAATTGAGGAGCTCTTGAAAATATGTAAGCTGCCAGGACACACCAGTCAAGTCTTGGGCTTGGCTTTTAAAGTTACGATTACTTATTTCGGCAGTTCTAGGGATGAGCTTTTTGTAAGAAGATTATACCTATTACTTTACCTTTTGTCTTGCCTATCATACATAGTAAGCCTCAATACATGTTCAGAGAAACAAAAACAAAAACAAAAGAAGCCCAGGATAAGACGTAGCAGAAAGGGGCTGTGTAAGAATTTGAAGCTGTGGCTATTTTCAAGTGATACCATTGAACCTAAAAAAATCATGTGTTCCTCCTCATGCTTCAGCCGTCTAGGATCTAGTTCTCTGTTACAGGAATATCTTTGCCTAACAGCTTTTGTTATTTTTAAATGAGCCTCAGGTACAGGAAATCTGTTGATAAATAATATTTCTAATGTACTACAGTCCTCTCTTGAAAAATCCATAAAACTGTATTGGGGGCCGGGCGTGGTGGCTAACGCCTGTAATTCCAACACTTCGGGAGGCTGAGGTGGGTGGATATCCTAAGGTCAGCAGTTCGAGACCAGCCTGGCCAACATGGTGAAACCCCGTCTCTACTAAAAATACAAAAATTAGTGTGGTGGTACTTGCCTGTAGTCCCAGTTACTCGGGAGGCTGAGGCAGAAGAATCACTTGAACCCAGGAGGCAGAGGTTGCAGTGAGCTGAGACTGCGCCATTGCCATTCCAGCCTGGGCGATGAGTAAAACTCCATCTCAAAAGAGAAAACAAAAACTGTATTGGGAACTGGTGGAACAGTGCTATGAATAAAAGAAAATAACGACTAGAGGAATTTGGCCTTTCCCTTTTTCCCCCAACTTCCCTGGAAGAAATACAAATCTTGAGGTAGGCATGAGGGCAGGATGGAAGATTTGATGATCAAATACATTTAGGAAATGGTACCTGGGTATACTCACCTTTTGGTGATTTATAAAACACATTAACACAAAGTTTCCATGAAGTCCTATATCAAAGGCAGTATACAACTTCATTTAATGTGTTTTTCAAACCTCACAACCCTTTTGTTGAGTAACCATTGAACATTCTTTGTAACAAATATTCCTTGGTTCACACTTTGGGAAATTGACAACTGCTTTGTAAATTGAATTTTGTGTTTATTTTTATTTTTAAAAATACAGACAAGGTCTTGCTGTTTGGCCCAGGCTCGACCCGAACTCCTGGGCTCATGCAGTTCTCCTGCCTCAGCCTCCTAAGTTTGGGCCTGCAGGCATACACACCATGGTGCCGGGCTACTAGACCGTTGCTTTTGATGTATTTTAATATCAAAGCTTCAAGTAAGATACGGATATTCTTGAGTCCAAAGACGTGTAAAGCCATCCTGAAAAGCAAGTTGTTACACCTTCCTTCTCACTGTTGTTATTCTTGCCTTTTTTTTTTTGAGACGGAGTCTCCAGGCTCCAGGCTGTCACCAGGCTGGAGTGCAGTGGCACAGTCCCAGCTCACTGCAACCGCTGCCTCCTGGGTTTAAGCGATTCTTCTGCCTCGGCCTCCTGAGTAGCTGGGACTACAGGTGTGTGCCACCATGCCCAGCCAATTTTTGTATTTTTAGTAGAGACGGGGTTTCACCATGTTAGCCAGGATGGTCTTGATCTCTTGACCTTGTGATCCACCTGCCTCGGCCTCCCAAAGTGCTGGGATTACAGGTGTGAGCCACTGTACCCGGCCTTATTATTCTGCTTTGTAAATATTAATGTACCCATTGTATATGGTTTGCTGGTACAGGATACAGTTTTTGAGTAGTGTATCATTATGGAAAATGCTATGTAATGGTAAATTCTGTTGAAAACTTTTTTCTTCCTTCACTTTTGGGTGGGCACTTTCATTCTTTGTGGTTGTGTTATGATAAATGTTTTGGAAGAGTACTAAGCATTTCTGGAAAATGGGTATGAAATGTTGGGGATGAAGATAGTTTGTTGTGAAGTTGTATCATTAGTTTTAGAGACTGGGAGCCGTTTATCACTGAAAAGGAGTTCCACAGCATAGAGTAGAATTGGTCCTTTCCCTGTCCTATTTGCTGCCACTTGTGAGACTAGGAGAAACAACTAGGTGAACGAACTCAACCCATTACTTGGTAGAGACCCTCTCTGGGAATCAGTGCCTTGAAAACATTTAGCCGTGCTGCTAAGTTATCACAGGTATTGAGCTTTTGAGCTAGACTCGCTGTAGGACAAATAATGAAAAACTAAAAAACAAAAACGAACAACAGGCCGGACGCGGTGGCTCAAGCCTGTAATCCCAGCACTTTGGGAGGCCGAGACAGGCGGATCACGAGGTCAGAAGATCGAGACTATCCTGGCTAACATGGTGATACCCCGTCTCTACTAAAAATACAAAAAACTAGCCGTGTGAGGTGGCGGGTGCCTGTAGTCCCAGCTACTCAGGAGGCTGAGGCAGGAGAATGGCATAAACCCGGGAGGCAGAGCTTGCAGTGAGCTGAGATCTGGTCACTGCACTCCAGTCTGGGCGAAAGAGCGAGACTCCGTCTCAAAAAAAACGAACAACAACAACAAAAAAACAAAACCAGAAAGCATTGGCACAATATACCTATTGATGATAATCACCTTTCCAAATTAATTTTATTACTACATCATAGTGTAATATGTCATTCATTCCCATAACATTTCTATTACATGGTTAAGAGAGAGTAAGTGTTATTTCTCTGATCTAGGAGCTAAGGCATAAACTTAACAAATTTACTCCAGTTTGTATGGCTATTTCAATTACGGGATCAAACTTGGAATCCAGATCTCCTAAACAATTGCCCTTTTTGCTAACTGCATTTACTCAAGTTTGTTTTGATGTGTTTAAATACATTTTTAAATAAATACATGTATTTGTATTGAAGTTTTATGGCTTAGACAGTTAAATAACCAGGAAAGAGTATTGTTTTTTTCCCTTAAAGATCAGAAAAGTGAGGCTTAGAAAGATGGCCTTACCTAGTGTTGTATAGTTTGGAGGTGAGAGCTGTGACTAGAATTTAGCCCTTTTTTTGTCCACTGTTGATAAACCAAGATGTCGGTAGATGGTGTCTTTACTGGATGCCAATAAGTGTGTATTCAATAGAACTCAATCTCTTCCTTTTTTTTTTTAAATTTTTAACAATTTTAAATTTTTTTGAGACAGAGTCTCACTCTGTCACACAGGCTGGAGTGCAGTGGCACTATCTCAGCTTACTGCAACCTGTGCCTCCCGGGTTCAAGCGATTCTTGTGCCTCAACCTCCCAAATAGCTGGGATTACAGGCGCATGCCACCACACCTGGCTAATTATTGTATTTTTAGTAGAGATGGAGTTTTGCCATGTTGGCCAGGCTGGTCTTGAACTCCTGACCTCAAGTGATCTACCTGCCTCAGCCTCCCAAAGTGCTGGGGTTACAGGCATGAGCCACTGCGCCCAGCTGACCCTATTGCTAGTAAGGTCAATTTTTCAGATTTTAAAGGATATCAAACTTTTCTCCCAGATCCAGGTTTTACACCAAGATTATACTAGTCCACTTTATTGAACACATGACTTGAATTAGATGCCTTTTGGGAGGCCTAAATCATAGGTCTAGAAAAAGTGACTGACCTTCTTATAGGAGTCAGGAGAGAGAATTAGGGCAATGACTATGACTACATACCAGTTGTAGGACAACGGCATGAGGTCACATAAGGAGAAACTGTGCAAGAACAGGCCTTTGGCAGGAACAGGGAGCAATCTAGTTATACTGTAGCACTGAATTGAAAAGCACAGTTAACTCTGTTTCTAGGTGGGCACTTGACATTGTTTCCTAGGTTAGACCAGTGAGTTGGGAATGACAGCCCACTGGAGGGGAGAGTGCAGCAAAGATGCAGGAAACACAAATTGTAGTCAGTTTATTAATCTAATTAAGTAGAACAATGATTGAGTCCCTGGGCATGGTGTTGTGTGCCTGTAATCTCAGCTACTTGGGAGGCTGAGGCAGGAGAATCACTTGAACCCAGGAGGTTGAGGTTGCAGTGAGCCAAGATTGGGCCACTGCATTCCAGCCTGGGTGACAGAGTGAGACTCTTGTCCAAAAAAAAAAAAAAAAAAAAAAAAAAGGAAATTAATATAATGTATTACTCTAACCCTCTAGCCCCAGACAATGTGCTGATTTCAGAAGGCAAATTTGTTGTAAATTGATTGTTTACCAATATAAGAAGTGACACTACATCTAGACCAAATTAGATCAAGGATAGGGCAGTGTTTCTCAAACTTTAGAGAGGACCACAGTCACCTGGAGGGTGTATTAAAAACATTGCTGGCACCCACTCCTAGAGGTTCTGTTTTGATTTTGCATTTTAAACAAATTTTTAGGTTGATGCTGATGTTAGTACTGCTGATCTTTGGATCACACTTTGAGACCCACTGATCTTGGACAGGAAAATGAAGCGAGTATAACTGTTCAGTTCCTCCTGATTAAGGTCTTCACGGAGAAGGGAAAAAACACTAACATTTAAGTCTGTACCCTGTCAAAATCCTGTGCCACGTGATTTGTAGTCATTGTTTAACTTAACCCTTGAAACCACTCTGCAAAGCAGTCCCCAGGCCCATTTTCCCTCAAACATACACCTGTTAAAAACTTGCTGGAGTAATTCTTTCTTCACTGGCAGCTTATACCTTATAACTGAAAGAATAATATTGACATATACCCGTACAAATGGGATTTTATTTAATGTAGAGGATATGTTAAGTTCCATTGCTGACTATTATGTATTCATTACTCTTCTTGTTGACTTACGAGAGAGATAAAATGTAGATTAATTTAGCAGTAATGATTATACAATAAATGGAATTAAATTTTGAGATATAGTTTCTCATAAAGAACATAAAGTGAATGAGAGCTTGACTTTAAAAATCAATATATTACATCTTTCAGATCACAGAAAAAATGAGCCTATGTTAATTTTGTGTGTGTTTTTTTTAATGTTGCCAATTGGTTATTGACCAGCTGTACTTTAGAAAAATACAGGAGGAGGAATGGTAAATTTCAGAATAGTAAGTATTAAGGTATGACCAAATCCTTGATAACTCAACCATAAGACTTATTTAAAGCACAGTATTTTCTGCTAATATTGTTTTTGAAAAGTCAACTTTTTTTTGAAACGTCAACTTGTTTTTCCTGGAACTCAGTGAAGTTACTTTGTGTTGTTTGACAGACAGCATCATACAGAATTATTAAAAAAAAAAAAAAAAAAAAAAAAAAGCAGTGATCCAAGCAGTTGAATTGGAAGCACTCTGGGGAAACCTGCTGTTTATTGTGAAAATCATCTTCGATCTCGGAATTAAAAGTAAAGCTGGAAAGGAATTTACAAACGAGAAAAAAAAGAAGTTTGGAATCGGATTCACAGGATCTGGGCTTGGAAATGCCTCAGGTAAATCATACAGAGTAGGTGCAAAGTTTTATATTTTCCCACTACAGAAAGTCAATACCATTGACTCTTAAATGAATCTTAACACAACTTTGCATACTACCTTTTTATGGTATCTTATTTCTGATCTCAGCTAGTTTTGAGTACATGTTCTTCCTTCCATTGGCTTCTATTTCTTTCTTTGCTATCACTTGAAGTTTAATGAGTTCTACATAGGTAGTATGGTGAATAGATTAGAAGGTAGACAGATTTCTGGCTTTATGGGGCAAAACCAACTCCCCTGAAAATTAATCTGCCACAGCAATCCCATTTCTGTCTCCTCACTCTTCCTGTTTCCCAGTTCTTACCTTTCATTTATGCCAGCTGAATTTAGAAGTAATTAAGAGGAAATAGTGAGAGACTTCAGGCTCCCTCCCCCAACCCCTCTCATCTCTCTCTTTCTCATAGACACACACACACATACATATGTGTGCACATATAAATATCTCCTTACAAAACATATCTAAGAATGATTGTATCTGTTTATATTATGGCAGCGACTCTGAATTGATCGGTTTTGGTTTGAGGCAATCACTGAGACAATCAGTGAAGCCCTGTTAGTCCCTATTCTGCTTGTCTAAACTCCTCCTTTTCTTCTCCAGTGTTTAGCTCTTGCCCCTCCCCTGTTTGTTTCAGTGCTGGGGAGAAACCTAGAAGTAATGAGTGGGCAGGGACTCTTGGGTGACTTTTTGTGTCTGAGCTATCCTTTGAGCATAGGGAATCAACAATTTGCTGGGATTGTCTGGTGACTTGAGACAGGCAGAAGAGGCAAAGAAAGGGGACTTGGTTAATGGATATTGAAAAGACAGTGGCCGGCCAGGCCCAGTGGCTCACGCCTGTAATCCCAGCACTTTGGGAGGCCAAGACAGGCGGATCACAAGGTCAGGAGATCAAGACCAGTCTGGCCAACATCGTGAAACCCTCTTTACTAAAAATACAAAAATTAGCTGGGTGTGGTGGTGTGTGCCTGTAATCCCAGCCACTCGGGAGGCTGAGACAGAATTGCTTGAACCTGGGAGGCAGAGGTTGTAGTGAGCCAAGATCACGCCACTGGACTCTAGCCTGGGGAAAGAGGGAACTCCGTCTCAAAACAAGAAAAGAAAAGACCAGCGGCCTACTGCCACCCCAACCTCTGTGACAGATGGACTGCACATACCCTTTTAGAGTGGTTGCCCATTCGAGGTTTAGTTTTATATTTACTGAGTACTTGAATTTGGGGCTTAAATTTTAAACTTATTTTCTCAAGCTAACTTTTTCTAGGAAGAAAGGTTCTGCAGGCCTGGAAATGTTGGGGGAAGGTAAGAGAAAGAGAAAAAGAAAAACAATAAGATGGGACGTACCAATGAAGAAAAATACGATGAGAAGGTCTATGAAAAGTCCAGTTTGCAAAAGATAGAAAGTATATGAAAAGAATAAGCAAATAGATTAATACCATTTAAAAACATTTCTGTAGAAACTTGTTAAAAAAAAAAAAAAAAAAAAAACTAAGAGATTTTTGGCCTGGTGTCAGTGGTTCATGTCTGTAATCCCAGCACTTTGGGAGGCCAAGGTGGGCGGATCACTTGAGGTCAGGAGTTTGAAAACAACCTGGCCAACATGGTGAAACCCCATCTCTACTAAAAATACAAAAATTAGACCAGGTGTGGTGGTGCGCACCTGTAGTCCCAGCTACTCGGAAGACTGAGTCAGGAGAATTGTGTGAACCCGGGAGGTGGAGGTTGCAGTGAGCTGAGATCACGCCACTGCACTCCAGCCTGTGCGACAGAGCGAGACTGTGTCTCAAATAAAAAAAAAAAAAAAAAAGCTGGGTGCGGTGGCTTGCATCTGTAATCCCAGCACTTTGGGAGGCCGAGGCAGACTGATCACTTGAGGTCAGGAGTTAGATCAGCCTGGCTAACATATAGTGAAACCCCCATCCCTACTAAAAGATATAAAAAGTAGCTGGACTTGGTGGCGTGTGCCTATAGTCCCAGCTGCTTGGGAAGCTGAGGCAGGAGAATCGCTTGAACACTGGAAGTGGAGGTTGCGGTGAGCTGAGATCTTGCCACTGTACTCCGCCTGGGTAACAGAGCAAGACTATGTCTCTCCAAAAAAAAGAAATTTTTTTATTCTTTCTCATTCTCTTTCTTCAGCTCAGTTAGATTTTAAAGTGAAGCCTTTCTATTATTTGACCCACTTTAGAAGGGTGAGCCCAGACTTGACTCTGAGGGATTTGTATAGATGTTAAAATGTAAACAGAAGATAGAGAAAAAAACAAGAAGGAGAATTAATGCTGGGTCTCAAGTCTTTTTTTTCCCCCCTTTATTTATTATGGAATGGACTGTGCCCTTTTTGGGAATCAGGATTAAGGCTACAGCGTTCATGCCCAAGTTACTGGTCTTACCAAGGAGATCTTTGGGTATTTAGTTGATTCTGTTTCCGTTACCTTCCTGCAGGCATTGGTTATACTAGATAGTGAATCCCAAACTGTCTTCCAGCTTGCTTTGGAAAATAAGACATGGGACTCACTTAGCAGCACAGAGTGAGAGTGATTTGCTGTATCTGCAGACCCCAGGAAAAGACAGGGAATCCTCTACTGATGATAGTTAAAATAGTGTTGTTAGACAGGATGTGAAGAAATGTTATATAGCTAAGTGAAAGTACTTGATAGGTGCTGTATGGTGACTGGTGGCTAAATAAGCTTTAGTTTCTAGAAGATATTAATTGCTGCTGTATATTTTTTCAATTTTTTTTGACAGGGGAAACACTTCTTTAAATTACAAACTCAATTCATTTGGTGTATTTCTTTTTTTTTTTTTTTTTTTTTGAGACGGAGTCTCGCTCTGCCGCCCAGGCTGGAGTGCAGTGGCCGGATCTCAGCTCACTGCAAGCTCCGCCTCCCGGGTTCACGCCATTCTCCTGCCTCAGCCTCCCGAGTAGTTGGGACTACAGGCGCCCGCCACCGCGCCCGGCTAGTTTTTTGTATTTTTTAGTAGAGACGGGGTTTCACCGTGTTAGCCAGGATGGTCTCGATCTCCTGACCTCGTGATCCGCCCGTCTCGGCCTCCCAAAGTGCTGGGATTACAGGCTTGAGCCACCGCGCCCGGCCGGCCATTTGGTGTATTTCAAAGGTGCAATACTTTTCTTCATGTATCAGTGAAAGAAGTTAGAAATTAACTCCCCCCAAAAATAAGCAAATGGCAAACCAATGTCCGTGAAAGTCACAGTCATATATAGTGTGGCCTAGAAAACAGAGGGGCAAGACAGGCTCCAGCCACTTTCATGAGTTTCATCAAATACTGGATCTACTCAAGGGTGGAAAGAAAAGGCAACTTTCAAAAAGGAGTATGTTATTAAATGAGGCGTTTACTATACTCCTTCTTGAAAGCACCAGATGGGGAACATGTTTTCTAAACTAGATCTAGGAAGTGGATCCGTCCTCCTCCCCTTAAGGGCTATCCACTGGTTAATTAATAAAAAAAAAAAAAAAGACTGAAAAATCGCACACACACTCCCCTCAAAAAAATAGGAGAAAAAAACCAACAACATACCAAGATGTCCCAGATTACTCTCCAGAGTGGAACTGGGGAACAGCTTCAACAATTCCAATTAGTTTATTACAGAGTCATCCATAAGCATGCCTTGCTTTTAAACAAATAATAAGTTTTAAAACAACAAAACCTAGTACTAATCACTTTTCTGACAGTACACAATTACTCAAAATTAGCTAGTACTGGGAGGGGGAAAGGTGGACCCATACCTATGGGCCTTGTCCTACACAAGTGCATGTGGGTAGGTACACGGCATTTGTCATTATTGCAAAAACGAATTTACTTTTATTTTTATTTAGTTATTTATTTTTGAGACGGAGTCTCGCTCTGTCGCCCAGGCTGGAGTGCAGTGGCACGATCTCTGCTCACTGCAAGCTCTGCCTCCTGGGTTCACACAATTCTCTTGCCTCAGCCTCCACAGTAGCTGGGACTACAGATGCCTACCACCACACCTGACTAATTTTGTATTTTTAGTAGAGACGGGGTTTCACCGTGTTAGCCAGGATGGTCTCTATCTCCTGACCTCGTGATCCACCCGCCTCGGCCTCCCAAAGTGCTGGGATTACAGGCGTGAGCCATTGCGCCCGGCCTATTTTTTATTTTTTGAGATGGGAGTTTCGCTTTCGTTGTCCAGGCTGGAGTGCAATGGGACGATCTCGGCTCACTGCAACCTCCACCTCCTGGATTCAAGCGATTCTCCTGCCTCAGCCTCCTGAATAGCTGGGATTACAGGTACATACCACCACACCTGGCTAATTTTTGTATTTTCAGTAGAGACAGAGTTTTGCTACATTGGCCAGCCTGGTCTCGAACTCCTGACCTCAGATGATCCGCCTGCCTTGGCTTCCTAAAGTGCTGGATTACAGGCTTGAGCCACCGCACCCAGCCTGAATTTTAACTTTTAATCTTTTGTTTGATTTAAACATTGCTTTTAGTATGATGCTGACACCAGCTGTGCAGAAAGGGCTCTGGAGAGATGTTCATAGCAGCACACACCTGCAGCTCTTCTTCGATTCTGGAGGCTCCAGGGCAGCCAATATTGCATCGTCCAATATGTTCCTTTTTTTTTTTTTTCTGGAGATGTACTTTCGCTCTTGTTGCCCAGGCTGGAGTGCAATGGTGCAATCTCAGCTCACTGCAACCTTTGCCTCCCAGGTTCAAGCGATTCTCCTGCCTCAGCCTCCCGAGTAGCTGGGATTACAGGCACCTGCCACCATGCCCAGCTAATTTTTGCCTTTTTAGTAGAGACAGGGTTTCACCATGTCCAGGCTGGTCTCGAACTGCTGACCTCAGGTGGAACACCTGCCTCAGCCTCCAAAAGTGCTGGGATTACAGGCGTGAGCCATCGCGCCCAGCTGTCCAATAAATTCTTTAGGTCTTTTTGTGTGAGTGTAGAACACTCCATGATACCTGACAGCCTTCAGGTCACGGGCCAGCTTTTTAGCAGTCTCCAGAGTGATAGGCTTCTGTTTGTTCTTGGAAAGTTTCTCAATAGTAGAGGGGTTATCTCTGATATCAGTTTGGGTCCCAACAAGCAAGAAAGGAGTCTTTGGGACGGTTATCTCAGGCACCCACTTTTTTCACATTTTCAAATGAAGATGGAGAGACCACTGAAAAACAGAGTAGAAATATATCTGTTCGTGGATAACTCAGCGGTTGTAATCTGTTATAATCCTTTGCCCTACAATATCAAAAAGTCCAAGAGTGTATGGTTCTCTACCAGTCGTAACGGTGACTGCATAGTTGTCAAAAACAGTACATTATTCTGATGGAAATTTGTTTGTTGTGTAGGATATCAGGAGACATGTTTTACCAACAGCAACATCACCCACAACACACTTAATTGTCTGCATTGCTGAAATAGTTTTGTATCCACTTTAAATATTTCAAATCTGATGTTGACCTCAGCTTCTCCACCAGGGCGTTGGCAGCACTCTATTTTTTCTATTTTTAGGCATTTTCCTAATTTAAGTCTACAGTTCAGTGTTAGCCAAAGCTCTTAAATATACTATACAGTAGAAGAAAGTATAGAAATGTTTTCTGAAAAGAATAAGTTACTTAGTGGGTGTGGAGTTGGGACTCACATGTGATAAATTGGTTTCAAAATAGTCTTTAACTTTCTAAAATAAAAATCACTCTGTTGTAGCCTAGTGTAAGCGGAATGGATCCGCCTTTCGGGGATGCCTTTCGAAGCCACACCTTTTCGGAACAAACTCTGATGAGCACAGATCTCTTAGCAAACAGTTCGGATCCAGATTTCATGTATGAACTGGTAAGCAACATTTTCTTGGTTTTGGTCTTGATTGATTTGGGGTAAAAGTTTGTGGGAGAGTTTTTTATTTATAAATGCCTGGGAAAAAAAAAAAGATGTGCTTGGGCCAAGTTTAATTCTTATGATTATACCTGTAGTAATTTTGTTTGTTTTTATTTTTTTGAGACGGAGTCTTATTCTGTTTCTCAGGCTGTAGTGTGGTGGTGCAATCTTGGCTCACTGCAGTCTCCACCTCCCAGGTTCAAATGATTCTTCTGCCTCAGCCTCCCAAGTAGCTGGGATTACAGGCATGTGTCACCACATCCAACTGATTTTTTTTTTTTTTTTTTTTGTGACAAAGTCTCGCTCTGTCGCCCAGGCTGGAGTGGTGCAATCACGGTTCACTGCAACCTCCGTTTACTGGATTCAAGCAATTCTTCTACCTCAGCCACCCAAGTAGCTGGGATTACAGCCACCTGGCACCATGCCCAGCTAATTTTTGCATTTTTAGTAGGGATGGGGTTTCACTACATTGGCCAGGCTAGTCTTGAACTCCTGACCTCAGGCTATCCAACTGCTTCGGCCTCCCAAAGTCCTGGGATTACAGGCATGAGTCACCGTGCCTGGCCTACTTTTTGTATTTTTAGTGCAGACAGCATTTCACCATGTCAGCTAGACAGGTCTTGAGCTCCTGACCTCAGGTGATCTGCCCGCCTTGGCCTCCCAAAACGCTGGGATTGCAGGCATGAGCCATCGCACCTGGCCTACACCTAGTAATTTTAAAAGTATGCAGCTGTTGGCTGGGTGCGGTGGCTCATGCCTGTAATCCCAGCACTTTGGAAGGCCAAGGCAGGTGGACCATGAGGTCAGGAGATTGAGACCATCCTGGCCAACATGGTGAAACTCTGTCTCTACTAAAAATACAAAAATTAGCTGGGCATGGTGGTGCGCACCTGTAGTCCTAGCTACTCAGGAGGCTGAGGCAGAAAAATCGCTTGAACCAAGGAGTCAGAAGTTGCGGTGAGCTGAGATCGCCCCATAGCACTCCAGTCTGGCGACAGACTGGAATCTCAAAAAGAAAAAAAAGCATACTGCCGGGCATGGTAGCTCACGCCTGTAATCTCAGCACTTTGAGAGGCCAAGGCGGGTGGATCACCTGCCTGAATTTTAATTTTTAATCTTTAGTTTGATTTAAACATGCATTTATTTATTTGTTTGTTTGTTTGAGACGGAGTCTCTCTGTGTAGCCCAGGCTGGAGTGCAGCGGCACAATCTTGGCTGACTGCAACCTCCGCCTCCTGGGTTCAAATGATTCTCCTGCCTCAGCCTCCCGAGTAGCTGCGATTACAGGCCACCATGCCCGGCTAATTTTTTGTATTTTTAGTAGAGATGGGGTTTCACCATATTGGACAGGATGGTCACGAACTCCTGACCTCGTGATCCGCCCACCTCGGCCTCCCAAAGTGCTGGTATTATAGGCGTGAGCCACCGCGCCTGGCCTTAAACATTGCTTTTAGTATGATGCCGACACCAGCTGTGCAGAAAGGGCTCTGGAGAAATGTTCATAGCCACACACACCTGCGGCTCTTCTTCGATTCTGGAGGCTCCAGGGCAGCCAATATTGCTTCATCAAATACTTTCTTTTTTCTTTTTTTTTTGAGATGGAGTTTCACTCTTGTTGCCCAGGCTGGAGTGCAGTGGCGTGATCTAAAATTAGCTGGGTGTGGTGGTGGGTGCTTGTAATCCCAGCTACTCAGGAGGCTGAGGCAGGAGAATCGCTTGAACCCGGGAGACAGAGGTTGCAGTGAGCCGAGATTGCGCCACTGCACTCCAGCCTGAGCAACAAGAGCAAGACTCCGTCTCAAAAAAAAAAAAAGAAACAAATTAACCCATCAAAAATAGTAAAAGATTATGTAAATATCTTCAAATCTAGTTTTTGATAAAGATAATGGACTTTTCAGTGGGAAAACGTTGAGCAAGGCATATGAATGACATAAAGAATGTGACACAAAAATAGCAGTTCCAAACAGGATCTGCCTATACTTATCATTTATTCTTGAGGTAAATAGACACTTAAAATTCATAAGAAAAACATTTTAGGCCGGGCGCGGTGGCTCACGCCTGTAATCCCAGCACTTTGGGAGCCCCAGGCAGGAGGATCACAAGATCGGGAGATTGAGACCATCCTGGCTAACACGGTGAAACCCCATCTCTACTAAAAAATACAAAAAAATTAGCCGGGCGTGGTGGCTGGCACCTGTAGTCCCAGCTACTTGGGAGGCTGAGGTAGGAGAATAGCGTGAACCCAGGAGGCGGAGGTTGCAGTGAGCCGAGATCAAGCCATTGTACTCCAGCCTGGGCGATAGAGCAAGACTCCATCTCAAAAGAAAAAAAGAAAAACATTTAAAAAACAGTTTTAATTACATCAAATTGAAAAAACACAAAAATATATAAAAACTGGAAAACTGAGTACTCAAATGCATAAATCTACTAAAAATTAGTGAATTGTATACTTAATATAGGTTGGTTTTATGGTATGTGAAATTATACTTCAGTAAAACTGTAAAAACATAGACAGGCCAGGTGCAGTGGTCACGCCTGTAATCCCAGCACTTTGGGAGGCTGAGGCAGGTAGATCACGAGGTCAGGAGTTCAAGACCAGCCTGGCCAAGATGGTGTATCTACTAAAAACACAAAAAATTAGCTAGGTGTGGTGGCACGTGCCTGTAATCCCAGCAATTCGGGAGGCTGAGGCAGAGAATTCCTTAAACCCAGAGGCAGTGAGCCAAGATCACGCCACTGCACTCCAGTCTGGGTGACAGAGTGAGATTCTGTCTCAAAAACAAACAAACAAACAAAAACAAAACGCAGACAACACACACACCCCCCCCAAAAATTAAAAAAAAAAAACAAAAAAAAAAACTCTGGAAGACTGAAAACTTCATTTTCTTCCTGTGCCTCCACCTTCCAAACCTTTTACCAAAACATAACTAACAGGTTTTTTTTCTATGCATATGTAAACATATGTATATCTTTTTTTGTATATATATACTTTTTAATTGGATAATATAGATAACAGTTTTCTGTAACTTGCTCTTTTAAAAATAAAAATGTATGGTGGGCAGTCTTTCATGTTTGTACATTAGAGCTAAGCTGCATTTATTTCAATGACTGCAGAGTCTTAACTGATATTTGAAGTTGACATCTCCAGTGGCACAAGCCTGTAATCCCAGCAATTTGGGAGGGCAAGGTGGGCGGATCACTTGAGGTCAGGAGTTTGAGACCAGCCTGGCCAACATGGTGAAACCCCGTCTCTACTAAAAATACAAAAAAAAAAAACCTCTAAAATTCATGAGGAGTATTTTACTCTGCCTGCCCAAGTGTTGTTATAAGATCTTGCAAAAGATCTTACCATTCTGTGGCTGAATTCCAGCTCTCTTTGGATTGTTCTTTGCCTCTATATTTAAGTTCCCACTGAAAAGATATCTTCTTCTGTAATGAGGGTGTCTTTATTATTTTCATTGTTACTAATATTTAAAAATTTCCTCTCTCACATATCACATTATTTGCTTTTTAATTGAAGTGTGCCCCCCCACCACCACTGCTAAGGAGATCCCAAAATCCTTCTAAGATAAGGAAATGTAAACTATTTTCAGGAAGAATGTTTATGGTAAAACTCAAGAGCCCTTGATATTTGGATCATACCTGAGCCTCTCAAGGCACACACTTTCCCTCTTTTTTAAATTTAATTTTTAATTGTTTGTTGTTTGTTTTATTTTCACTCTACTTTTTCTTGCCTAGGGAAATGATGGCATTATATGGAATAATAAAGCATCACGTCAGTAGCCTTTATGTTAAAACAGACCAAAAGTCAAGTACTGATTTATCAGTTTGACATATGGAGGTGAATATTTCCTTCCTAAAATATGATGTGCAATTTCTTTTTTAAAACCTTTCTCAGGATAGAGAGATGAACTACCAACAGAATCCTAGAGACAACTTTCTTTCTTTGGAGGACTGCAAAGACATTGAAAATCTGGAGTCTTTCACAGATGTCCTGGATAATGAGGGTGCTTTAACCTCAAACTGGGAACAGTGGGATACATACTGTGAAGACCTAACAAAATATACCAAACTTACCAGCTGTGACATCTGGGGAACAAAAGAAGTGGATTACTTGGGTCTTGATGACTTTTCTAGTCCTTACCAAGATGAAGAGGTTATAAGTAAAACTCCAACTTTAGCTCAACTTAATAGTGAGGACTCACAGTCTGTTTCTGATTCCCTTTATTACCCCGATTCACTTTTCAGTGTCAAACAAAATCCCTTACCCACTTCATTCCCTGGTAAAAAGATCACAAGCAGAGCAGCTGCTCCTGTGTGTTCTTCTAAGACTCTGCAGGCTGAGGTCCCTTTGTCAGACTGTGTCCAAAAAGCAAGTAAACCCACTTCAAGCACACAAATCATGGTGAAGACCAACATGTATCATAATGAAAAGGTGAACTTTCATGTTGAATGTAAAGACTATGTAAAAAAGGCAAAGGTAAAGATCAACCCAGTGCAACAGAGCCGGCCCTTGTTGAGCCAGATTCACACAGATGCAGCAAAGGAGAACACCTGCTACTGTGGTGCAGTGGCAAAGAGACAAGAGAAAAAAGGGATGGAGCCTCTTCAAGGTCATGCCACTCCCGCTTTGCCTTTTAAAGAAACCCAGGAACTATTACTAAGTCCCTTACCCCAGGAAGGTCCTGGGTCACTTGCAGCAGGAGAGAGCAGCAGTCTTTCTGCCAGTACATCAGTCTCAGATTCATCCCAGAAAAAAGAAGAGCACAATTATTCTCTTTTTGTCTCCGACAACTTGGGTGAACAGCCAACCAAATGCAGTCCTGAAGAAGATGAGGAGGACGAGGAGGATGTTGATGATGAGGACCATGATGAAGGATTCGGCAGCGAGCATGAACTGTCTGAAAATGAGGAGGAGGAAGAAGAGGAAGAGGATTATGAAGATGATAAGGATGATGATATTAGTGATACTTTCTCTGAACCAGGTATTATCATGCTTGCAAGCTTACCAGACTGACCTTTGTATTACTATTTTGAAATAGAAAGGTTTTGGTTTCTATTTTGTTTGGATAATTTCTTTATTTTAGTTTGGGAATTAAATGACTTAAACCTTGGCTTGAATGATCACTTTTGCTCACATAGGGATTCATAAGCTAATTCCTTGAGGGCTTATTTTTTATTATTTTATTTCTTATTTTCAAAATTAAAATAGACATGGGAGCTTGTTGTTGTTGCCCAGGCTGGTCTCAAACTCCTGGGCTCAGGCTATCCTCCCACCTTGGCCTCCTAAAGTGTTGGGATTACAGGCGTGAGCCACTGTGCCCAGCTGAGGACATACTCTTAATGTATCTTATGTTAAGTGACCTGTTTTGTCATTCACTTGAGCATTTATGCTAAGACACCAAGAATTTATTGTTTTAAAAATATTCCTGTTTAGGGCCAGGCACAGTGGCTCACGCCTGTAATCCCAGCACTTTGGGAGGCCGAGGTGGGTGGATCACCTGAAGTCAGGAGTTAAAGACCAGCCTGACCAACACAGCAAAACCCTGTCTCTACCAAAAATACAAAAATTAGGTGTTGTGGCACTCACCTGTAATCCCAGCTACTCCGGAGGTTGAGGCAGGAGAATCACTTGAACCTAGGAGGCTGAAGTTGTGGTGAGCTGAGATTGCGCCATTGCACTCCAACCTGGGCAATAAGAGTGAAAGTCTGTCTCAACAACAACAAAAAATAATAAATAAAAATATTCCTGTTTATGCATGTGTCTCTCTATTATAGTTGAGATAAGTTAGGAGTATACAGAATGTTGAACCAAGTGATGATGGTTTATATTACTCATGCCAATACCCAACAAAGTCTATTTATGAATAATGTAAAAGAGAGCATTTTCTTTGTGTCTGCTAACATTTTAATTTACATCATATTTTCCTATTTAAGAAAAATACATGCTGTAATTTGGTGAGCATGAAGGAGACTCTGCTTTATTTATATACAGTGCATATAAATAAAAGGGACAAAGAAAATGAAATCTGTGGGGGAACTGGTTCATTTTAGCATTTACATGCTTGGGCTTTTGGCACTGTTGGCTTGTGCAGTTTATTTATAAAAATGGTATTGCCAAGTGGCACATGGTTGAAAATGCACAAAGAAGTAAAGATCTTCAAATTTAAACTAAAGTTATTTTCTTCAAAAATGGTGTTGATACTAACTCTGCATGAAAACTAAGTTATTATTATAAAAAAAGAAACCGAAATATCAAAGAGAACCCTTTTGTTATAATGATGATTGCTGGAATTTCAGGCAGTATAAACATAGATATTTAATTTTCTGAAAGGTGTTTAAAGTATAATACCTGTATTGTAACTAGTGAAACGTTATTATTACTAAGAACTTTTCCTTTGGTGAAATCTTTCTGTTACACAAATGTTTAGATTTATGCATTTGACACAAACAAATTTTTTGATTTGGGTGGAGTTTCAGGTAAGTAAAAGATACTTGAATATGGAAGAAAAGGGTTTGTGCCTTCTTCGTTGGTGTACTGTACAACTCTATGTAGTCTAGATAGAATAATGGTCTTTTTATAATACAGGAAAATTTTTCTCTTGGCAAGTGAATAAAATCTGCTTTGAGATGTTTCAAGGAGACTTTGACTATAGGTAGGGGTAATTTATATAACTCCCTGCACTTGGAAGATCATAGTGCTGTTCATGAGTGGTCCTTAAAGTCTTGACAGATCAGTCCTGTTGCTTTGAGTCTCATATGTAGGAGTAGGGGAAGGGTGAGACAAAGAGAGGATGGGTAATTAAGGGAAATGGCAAATGTAGGGAAGGAAATGCCTTTAGCAGCTGGTGCTTAAAGGAATATATAGATCAGAAGGAGTCAGTAAATCCTACAGTAAACCCTACCATCATCAAGGCAGCAGGGACTACATTATCTACCTGACTTTTGATTGTAGTTTTGCTTTTCTTTGACTTTTCCCCCACAACTTTATCAGGGTGTGTTTGCAAATAGAAATTGTATATGTTTAAAGTGTACAACATGTTTTGATACATGTACACGTTGTGAAATGATTACCAAAATCAGGCTAGTTAACATACCCATCACTTCACATTGTAGGGTGGTAAGAACATTTAACATCTACTCTCTTAACAAATTTTGCCTACACAATACAGTTTTGTTTTGTTTTGTTTTTTGAGACAAGATATGGCTCAGTTGCCTACCCTGCAGTGCAGTGGCACAGTCTTGGCTTACTGCAACCTCCGCTTCCCTGGCTCAAGCTACCCTCCCACTACAGCCTTCCAAGTAGCTAGGACCACAGGTGTGCACCATCATGCCCAGCTAATTTTTGTATCTTTTGTTGAGATGGGGTTTTGCCATGTTGCCCAGGCAAGTCTTGAACTTGTGAGCTAAGCCACCTGCCCGCCTCGCCTCCCAAAGTGCTGGGATTACAGGCGTGAGCCACCACTCCCAGCCCAGTATTGTTATATGTAGTCACAATGCTGTATGTTAGATCTCCAGAGCTTATTCATCCTGCATAACTGAAACTTTGTACCTTTTGACCAACATTCTTCCCATTTCCCCCAACCCCCAGCCCCTGGCAGCCTCCATTCTACTTTCTACTCTCTGATCCTGAGTTTGACTTTTTTTCTAAGATTTCCCATATAAGTGAGATCATGCTGTATTTGTCTTTCTGTGCCTGGCTTATTTCACTTAGCATAATATCTTCCAGGTTCATCCACGTTATCACAAAGACAGGATGTCCTTTCTTTTTAAGGCTGAATAATATTCCTGTGTGTGTGGGCATGTGTGTATAACTCTTACATTTTCTTTATGTGTGTGTTCATTGTTGGCCCCTTTGTTGATTCCTTATCTTGGATTATGTGAATACTGTTGCAGTGAACATAGGAATGCAGATATCTCTTCAAGATACTGACTATTTATTTTGGCTGTATCCCCAGAAGTGGGATTGCTGGATCATATGATCTTTCTATTTTTAATTTTTTGAGGAACTTCCAGGCTGTTTTCCATAAAGACTGTACCAATTTACATTCCCACCAATAGTTTACAAGAGTTCTCTTTTTTTCCACATCCTCAACAACACTTGCTATCATTTATCTTTTTGATAATAGCCATGGTGACAGGTATGAGGTGATATCTCATTGTGGCTTTCGTTTATATTTCTCTGATGATTAGTGGTATTGAGCATGTTTTCATATACTTCTTGGCCATTTGGATGTCTTTTAAAAAATGTTTATTCAGGTCCTTTGCCCATTTTTTAATTGGATTGTTTTCTTGCTATTACATTGTTTGGGTTCCTTGTATATTTTGGATATTAACTCCTTATCAGACGTATGGTTTGCAGATATTTTTCTTTCATTTCATAGGTAGTCTCTTCACTCTGTTAATTGTTTATTTTGCTGTGTGGGGAGCTTTTTGGTTTGATGCAATCTCATTTGTTTATTTTTGCTTTTGTTGCCAGTGCTTTTGGAGTTATATATTTAAAAAATCATTGCCCATACCAATGTCAAGAATCCTTTTTCGTGTTTTCTCCTAGTATTTTTATTGTTAGTTTTTATGTTTAAGTCTTTAATCCATTTTGAGTTGATTTTTTAATATGGTATGAGATAAGAGTCTCCAATTTCATTATTCTGCCTTTGAATATCCAGTTTTCTCATAACCATTTATTGAAGAGACTATCCTGTTGTTTCTGGCACCTTTGCCAAAGATTAATTAATGGGACATAATGTGGGAATTTATTTCTGGGCTGTTTCATTGGTATATATGTCTGTTTTTATGCCAGTACCATATTGTTATAATTACTATAGCTTTGTAATATATTTTGAAATCAGATAATATGATGCCTCCAGCTTTGTTTTTCTTGCCCCAGATAGCTTTGGCTATTCAGAATCTTTTGTGATTTCATATGGCTTTTAGGGTCTTTTTCCCTTTATTTAAGGATTGCATTGAATCTGTGGTTCACTTTGGGTAATATGGATATTTTGGCCATATTAATTCTTCCAATCCATACACAGAGGATATCCTTTTATTTATTTGTGTCTTCAGTTTCTTTCACCAGTGTTGTATAGTTTTCAGTGTATAGATTTTTCACCTTCTTGGTTAAATTTTTTTCTAAGTTTTTTTTTGGTGTGATACTATTGTAAATGGGATTGTTTTTCTTATTTCTTTTTTGGATAGTTAGCATGTAGAAACACAACTGATTTTTGAATAATGATTTTTATCCTGCAGCTTTACTGAATTAGTTTATTCGTTCTAACAATTTTATCTAACAATTATGAAGTCCTTTTTCTTTTTTTTTCTTTTTCTTTTTCTTTCTTTGTTTTTTTTTTTTTTTTTGAGGCAGAGTCTTGCTCTGTTGCCCAGGCTGGAGTGCAGTGGCGCGATCTTGACTCACTGCAAGCTCTGCCTCCCGGGTTCACGCCATTCTCCTGCCTCAACCTCCCAAGTAGCTGGGACTACAGGAGCCCGCCACCATGCCCAGCTAATTTTTTGTATTTTTTTAAGTAGAGACGGGGTTTCACTATGTGAGCCAGGATGGTCTTGATTTCCCTTACCTCATGATCCGCCCGCCTTGGCCTCCCAAAGTGCTGGGATTACAGGCGTGAGCCACTGCACCCGGCCCTCGTCTTTAGGGTTTTCTATATACAAGATCATGGCATCCACTAACAGAGACAATTTCTTTTCCTATTTGGATGCCTTTCTTTCTTTGTTTTGTTTCTTTCCCTGCCTCCCTTCCCTCCCTTCCTGTCTTCCCTCCCTCCCTCCCTTCCTTTTGTCTTTCCTTCCCCCCCTCCCCCTCCCCTCCCTTCGCTTCCCCCTTCCCCTCCCTTCCCCCTCCCCTTCCTTCCCCTCTCCTTCCCTCTCCCTTCCCCTCCCCCCTCCCCTCCGGTACTACTCCTCTCCCTTCCCCCGTCCCTCCCCCTTTCCCCTCCCCCTTTCCCCTCCCCCTCCCCCTCCCCTTCCCCCT